GATGTAAACTGGGGTCTCTAGGGTGGGTCCTAATCCAGTCTGCCTGGTGTCCTTAAAAGAGGAGGACATTAGGACAGAGACACGCACAGAGGGACGACCACGTGAGGACACGGTGAAGACGGCGTCTACGCGGCAGGGAGCCAGGCCTCGGGAGAAGCCAGCCCTGCACCTCCAGGATCTGGGATTCCAGCCTCCAGGGTGTCAGACAGTGACGTCTGTGGTCAAAGGCCCCCTGTGGTGTCTGTTACAGCCGCCTGTGCAGACACACCCAACACGTGCGGCTCCCCATGGCTCCCCCAGGCCCCTGGCTCGCCCCTGCACCCACAGGCCAGGTGGGAACCCCAGGCTTGGGTGGTGGCATGGGGGAGACTGGCTGTGGATTTCACGAGGGTAGGCGGCGTGTTAACCTAGGGAGACTTCTCAGCGAGCTAGGCGACTGTAAAGAACGCTTTATTGTCGTAACAAAATGAAGACACAGCGAAGAGCATCGACGGGCCCCACGTTCAGAAGGAGAAAAGCCTCCCGAGCTGCGATCACGGGGCCCTTCTCTCCAGTCCGGGAGCAGCTCCACCACACGCGCATGCTGACTGCGCTTTTCCGCAGAGACCGGAGAGCTGGTACCAGGCCCTGAGGCGGGGGCTCGGGGTCCGAGGCTGGCCCTACGCGGGTCGCGTCTCTCACCCCCACCCCGGTGCAGGCGGAGCTCCTGCTGTACGTGCCTCAGGCCTTTGGCTGCAGGATGGGCTGGCCGCGCCTTCTGCCCTCTTTTCAGGGAGCCCCTCCAGCTCAGCCCGTGGGGCACCAGGTCAACAGCGTGCTCCCCGGGAGGCCGGTCTGGCTGGACCTCACCGCCTCCCGTGCTGGGGCTCCTGCAGCGGCCTCGGGCCCAGGCCTTGCTCTGAGCAGCGTCCACGGTGGAGGTGACCTGAGGGACCATTAGCGGCACCTGCAGAAGCTCTCCTGCTGGGAGAGGTGGGCGGCTCCCCTCCAGCATCTGGCACAGGCCCTCCTCCCGGGGACCCTGCGTCTGGAGCTCGGCCGGGACAAGATGCAGGGGCCAGGCCCTGTGCAGAGGCCCAGACGCCGGCCTCCTCCTCCTGTTCGAGGGGGACCCCCACGCCGACCCGGGCGTTCCCGGTGGTCCCTGGGGTCCCGGAGGTGTCCTGCGGGGACATCAGCTCAGGTTGGGCATCACCTGCGGTCCCCTCGGGTCTGTGAGTGGGGTGGGGGGCAGGTTGTGGTGGCCACGAGGCCAGAGGCCGGGGGTGCAGGTGAGGGTGCTCGTGAGCTCAGAGGCTGGCGAGGTCAGCGGGCGGAGGAGAGGCCTGGCGCAGGCTGAGCGGCACAGGGGGATAGACGTGGTCCTATAGGTCAGGGGCGGCCCAGGACGCAGCCCGTAGTGAGCACTAGGCACCCTGTCCGACCAGGTTCCTGTAGTCGGGGACAATCGTCTGCTTCAGCTCCACCACCGACGAGAAGATCCACTTCACCTGAGGGGCAGCGGGAGTGAGCGCAGGCTGGAAACCACCCAGGCCGCCCCCCAGGGCCTGTCCCCATTCCCCGGGCCGACGGACAGCGAGGAGTTCCGGGGGGACAGGAGGCCATGATGGGGACAGTGTGGGAGAGTGAGGGACAGGGAGGGACAGTGAGGGACTGTAGGGGACAGTGATGGACAGTGAGGGACAGTGAGGGGACAGTGAGGGACAGTGAGGGGACAGTGAAGAACAGTGAGGGACAGTGAGGGGACAGTGAGGGACAGTGCGGGACAGTGAGGGGACAGTGAGGGCCCATTAGGGACAGTGAGGGACAGTGAGGGACTGTGAGGGGACAGTGAGGGACAGTGAGGGGACAGTGATGGACAGTGAGGGACAGTGAGTGACAGTGAGGGCCCATGAGGGACAGTGAGGGACAGTGAGGGACTGTGAGGGACTGTGAGGGGACAGTGAGGGACAGTGAGGGACAGTGAGAGGCAGTGAGGGCCCATGACGGACAGTGAGGGCCCGTGAGGGACAGTGAGGGACAGTGAGGGACTGTGAGGGGACAGTGAGGGGACTTGAGGGACAGTGAGGGGCCGGGGGCCAGGAGGAGACACAGTGGGGACAGCGAGGGCGCTGCGGGGCCGGCCCGCCCACCTTGAAGAGCGTCACGGTGGCGCTGTAGCACACGCTGAGCAGGAAGAGGGTGATGAAGATGGAGATGGTCGTCCACAGCCCGTCCAGCTCCCCGTCTTGGGCATCAGCACAGGTCTCCTCCTCTAGCAGCAGCTCTGCACAGGGAGGGTGGGGTCAGTGCTGTGCCTGCCCCCGGGGGCAGGGCTGGGCTCATGGGGCCTCGCAGCGCGGCTCCCAGTGTGGCGGGGGGTGGCGGGATGCCCCGGTGGGCCGGGCCAGAGGCACCTGAGGACAGCCGCTGAGCACCGGCCCCAGCCCCCCATTCCTCCAGCCTGGGCCCCTGTCTCGGCCTGGCCAGTGGGTCCTGCTCCCTCCCCTGTGCTGTGCGCTGAGCTGGGGCGCTTGCGGGGAGGGTGCCCGGAACCCCCGCAGGACAGTGGCTCAGGCCCCGGCCGCCTCTCCCGCTGGGGGCCAGACCCGGAGGGCGGGAGTGTCAGCAGAGCGCGTGGGCTGTGGGCCCTGGCCCAGGGAAGGGGCAGCACAGTGCTGGTCTCTGTCCCGTGGGCGTTGGAGGGTGGGGACCAGCCTGGGGTCTACGGTGAGGGCTCATGAGACCCAGCTCTGTGGTCGGGTGTGCGTCTGTGCGGCTGCCCTGTGGGAGGGCCCGTGTGCAAGGCCCGCGTGTGTGCACGCATGTGGGTGTTGTGGTGGGTGCACTGCACACGTGTGTGCGCGGGCAGGTGAGTGCATGTGGATGAAGGCGGTGGTGTGCCGGCTGGTGTGGCTCAGTGGGGGGCTTGTTTTCAATGGCTCTGGGCTCAGTGCCCACGGGTGCGTATGGAGGGTCCCTCCCTGGGCACTCAGGGCTGCTTGCCTCTGCCCCTTGTGGGCACAGGGATGCGTGTCCCCACGAGTGCACAGGCCTGGCCCTGGCAGGGACAAGCAGGGCAGAGCCACCTGGCCTGAGGGGGGGTCCTGATCTCCCGTGCCTGACAGTGCAGCAGGGCCGTCCCCCCCACCCCGGGCTGTGTGTGGCCCCCGTGAGGGCAGAGAGCCAGCACGCGGACTCTGGAGCCGGGGACAGGAATGTGGGGACGAGGACGGCCAGTGTCCCACAGCTTGGGCTGGAACAGGGGCGGGAAGAAGTGGGCACTCATTCTCCTGAGGGTCTCTGGTGGGCTTCTCCCATTCCGGGCACACACTCCAGCCCCAGCAGCTGCGGGGTGGAGGGCGGCCGGAGCAGCTGTCCCCTCCGGGAGGGGCCCTCCCCGGCCTCGGGCAGCCCCCAAGCGGCCCGCGCAGGCCCGCACACTTGGGTCCGGCCCTGAGGGGGTCAGCTCTCCCGCACTGGTGGTGACAAACTGTGACCCAGAGCCGGGCCCCCCCTGCCCCATGCAGGCCCGCGTGCCCCAGGGCTCTGCTCGGAAAGAACCATGACAGCGTTGCGGGTCCCAGGGCGGCGCTGGGCGCTTTATTTCATGGCGCCCGGGAGGCATGTACACAGGGCTGGGGCTCAGGCGTCCTCGCTGGACGCTGAGAGCCCAAGGGGAGGGAGGGCTCGCTGGGGCAACAACGCCGTGGGGCTCATTTACCCAAAGACTGGGTGATGGACTTCTGCGTGTTGTGATTGCGTAGAGCCTCGTGCAACACTACACACGTGTAGGTGTCTCCCTGCTGCCAGCTCTTCTTGTCCACCCTGAGCTTGCTGTACAGGAAGAAGGACCCGTCGGCCTCCAGCTGGGGTGGGGTCGTGCCATAGTTGCCCTGTGGCTCCGGCTGCCCGTTTCTCTGCCACTCCACGTCGATGTCGCTCGGGTAGAAGTCGGTGACCATGCAGGTTATGCTGACGCTGACCGAGCTCTTGGCCAGCTCTTCCTGTGCTGGGCCCAGTACGTACACCTGCGGCTCCCGGGGCTGCCCTGTGGGGAGAGGTATGGCTGTTAGCACGATGGTCACTGCTCTTGGCCCCCAGGGACCCTCCTGCGCCCGTCCCCCGACCCACCTTTGGCCTTGGAGATGGTCCTCACGATGGGGGCCGGGAGGCCTTTGTCGTTGACCTTGCACTTGAACTCCTTTCCCTGCAGCCAGTCCTGGTGCTGGATGGGCAGGGCGCTGACCACACGGTAGGTGCTGTTGAATTGCTCCTCCCTTGGCTTCGTCTTGGCCGTGTGCACCTCTACATCGTCCACATACCAGGAGAACTGGACATCGGTGTCCTCCTTGCTCACATCCACCACCATGCAGGAGACTTCCGGTTTTCGGGACATTGTGAGGGTGTCCCTGGGTTTCGGGGGGAAGATGAAGACGGACGGTCCTCCTGGGAGCTCACAGGCTGGTCGGGGAGACATGGTGGGGGGTCAGCCCCTGGGTGGACCTCCTCTTGGGCACCCATCCATCCCTCCCCCGAGTGCCACAGCTGGTCAAGGTCCACCTCCAAGGGGTGGAGGGTGAGGCCGGCTGACTTACGTGGACATTTGGGACACCTGGAACGGGGGTTTGGGCCGTTGATTTCTGCAGAGAACAGACTGGAGGTTACCGGGGTTGGGGACGGCCTGGGGCTGGGCTTAGGGCAGGGGCAGGTTTTGGCAGGTGAGACCTGTGCCCACTCTGTGGCCCCAGGGGCTGGGGGAGGCGTCCAGCCTGTGCCCACCCTGGACCTGGTGGAAACGCCCAGAGGACCCCCTCCCTGAGCCTGGGAGGCCTTCAGGTGAGGGAGAGAGACAGGCCTCCCGTGACACCCTGGGTGGGATTCACCATCCCTGGTGTGTGGTCCGTTCAGGTGGGAGGGCTGACCCCGGGCCTGTCTCGTAGTGGACATCCTCCCTGCGGCCCGTCCTCTCACCGATGCGCTTGTCCACCTTGGTGCTGCTGGCCGGGTGGGCTATGTTGCAGGTGAAGGTCTTGCCGGACGAGGTGCTGGCAGGCACGGTCACAGTGCTGCTGAGAGAGTACAGCCCCGAGGACCCTCGGACGGATGGGAAGGTGTGCACGCTGCTGGGTAGGATGCCCGAGTTCCAGGTCACGGTCACTGGCTCAGGGACATAGCGTGAGACCAGGCAGCCCACGACCACTGTGGCACTAGGTGTGTCCCCACAGCTGGGAGACAGAGCGTAGACTTCCGGGGCCGTGGCGGAAGCTGTGAGAGAGTAGGCCGTGTGACTGCCAGGGCCTCACCCCTGCGAGGGTCCAGGCAGGGCATCAGGTGTCCAGGCCTGGGGCACCGTTGAGCCCAGAGACTATGTGCTTCCAGAGAGTCTGAAGAGATGCGGCCTGGCATGGTCTCTGCCACTGTGGTTCTCTGCCTTCGCAGCTGTGGGTCCTGGACTCAGCAGCCCAGTCAGGGCTGGGTGACCACCTGGATTAAAGTCCCAGGGGCCCCAGTCCTCCTGTGGGTGTCTGGCCTGATCAGGCCCTCGGTCTGAGCCCTGACCAGTGGCTACTACTCCCTGAGCCCACTGCCCTGCTCTGCTCCTGTCCCCTTGTCCTGGCCTGCTCTTTGCCACCCAGGGCCTGTGTGTTCTGGATCGCTCTGCCCATTGGCATCCCCGGGAGCCTTGCACTGCCCCTCGCCATTTTCTCCTGCAGGGTGCTAGCACCCCAAGCAGCATTCCCTGGCTGGACCTGTCCCCTCTGCACCTGGTCTGATCAGCCCAGACCTGCAGCCCCTTCGGAGCCCTGAAGGGCCCTTCCTTCGCCCTCAGCCAGGTCCACTGCCCTGCCAACCCCACCTCGCTTTGGCACGTCGTACCCTCCTGTCTCAAGCCCCGACAGGCGCCTGGAAAACTGGGGACCTTGGGCCCATGAATTGCAGCCCATCAGGTCCCCGCAGTCATGCCCCTGCCCCTTCAGCCTCAGAGACCTTCCCTCCCATGGTCCTCTCTCCACCCGGCCTTGCCATCCGCCTGGCCCCTCCCACCAGACCAAAGCACCTTTAGCTCAGGCCCTCGTACCCTGACCCCAGGGCTCGTGGGCAGCCCCTGCCCTCGCAGCCCCCTGCTGCCCTGCACAACCCCGCCTGCTCCCCTGAGTTCTTGGGGTAGCCCCCTGCGCCCGGCCTTACCAGCCGCCTGAGCTCCAGCGGAAAGGCTGCTCTCCTTTCTCAGGGCACTCAGGTTCCCCTCATCTAGATGCTCCCTCACCTGCCTCCACCCCTCATCCTGGCCCCTCGGCTGAGCCCGGGCTTCCTGTCCATCGAGTGTCTAGCCTCTGCCCATCTGAGCTCCGGTTCACCGTCTCAGGCTTGAGTCGTCCCTGCCCTTGTGTCCCTTCTCTCCTGCCCTGGGCCCTCCGCACACCCCAGGGGGGCCCCCAGCCCGCTCTCCTGTAGGACTCCCTGCTCTGCCCCCACTGCCAGCTGCCCTGCGTCCTGCCCTGCCAGTCCCCTAGGCTCAGGTCTCTGGGCTCAGCTCAGGGATGCTGTACCCTCATGTCATCTGCTCAGCTGGCGTCGGACTGCCTACTGTCCCTGGAGCGCTGGGCCCACAGCACCAACGGTCCCTGCACCCTATGACACTTGCCTACTCACCTGCTCACCCCAGTACCTGGTCTGCTGAGGTCCTGGGCAGGTCCCTGTCCTCCCAAACCCCTGCTCA